ATTCCTCCAAACGTCTAGATAAGAACCCTGAAGGTGCAACAGAAATTATGCAGTCAGAAAGTTCTGAAATTAATGCACATATGGTTATCAAAGAACTTAGTTCTGATAAGGAACAAGTTATACAACTCTCAAAAGATAATGAAATAACTAAACTGAATAACAACATATTAGAACAGGAGCAAATATCATTACATAAAGCAGGAATGCTCCTAACTGATACAGAAAAACTATCTAAAGATAAGCTTTCTATATATAGATATAATATACAAGAAACTCCTGCAGGTAATATCTCTAAAACTTCTATCCCCCCTGACAAAAATATAGATGCAGAAGGTTTCACCACAGTAACTAGCTATAAAAATAAGCCAAAAAAGGAAATACAAGCTCAAAGAAAGATGATATAAGACTCTCTCCATACAAAAAAATACATGGAGAAGGGAGCAACCTCCAAATCTAAAAATTAGAGACCAACAACCTTTAACATTAATCATTTTAAGCTAAAAATAGTAACACTAAATATAAAAGGACTCAATGATAGAGGTAAACAACAAAAAACACTAACTCTATTAAAAACATATAGGCTAGGCATAATTATGCTTCAAGAAACAAATCTTAATAATGAAAAAACATAAACTTTTCTTAAACAATAATGGATCTATAACTCAATTTGGTCTAAAAAGATAGCAATCTTAGCAGGAAACAAAGATATTGAATTCAAAAATACCCAAATAGAACATGAAAGAAAAACAATTACTACAGAGTTCACATTCAAAGGATACTCTTTTAGAATAACTAATCTTTATGTTTCTCCAAACATTAGCAATAGAACTGCTTTCTTCAACAATTGGGAGCCACAACTTAAAGAAAATACAATAAACATCTTAGCAGGTGACTTCAATATCAACCTCAACTCAGAAAGAAATAGAATCAATCAGGCAGTAGTACATCGAGATCTAACCAAAATCTAACTCTTAGATCTAACAAGAGAGTTTATTAATACAGCAGAGTTATCAGACACAAAGCCTTTTCTAACTTTTTTTTAAAAAATACAGAATAATCACTCTATGGCAACATGCTTAGACTACATTTTTATAGATGAGAATAATACTCAACTCATATCAGAAGTAAGCACATATTTTGGAAATTCAGATCATCTCCTAGTAAGATGTATCCTTGAATTTAATCAGAAATGCAATTACTGCTCAACATGGAGATTTGACAAAAACTCTTTCAAGAATAGATTATTAAAGAAAGAAGTCTTAGAAGAAATTCAAGATGATAGCTCAGCTGAAAATTAGGACCTATGTAAGATATACATGCAATCTATTATCAGAGCATTTAGAAAACCCAATGCTTTAGAAAACAAAATAGCAAAAATAAACAAAGAGATCACAAGGCTAAATGTAGACCTAGTAACAAGCTCTATATGAGAAAGCCTAGCTGAATCTATAGAAGAATTAAATATCCAAATTTAAGATAAGCTAACTAAGCTCTCTGAAATATGGCTTACTCGATCAAAGGCACAATAGATCGAACATAGAGAGAGATCAACAAAATACTTTTTCTCTAAATACAAGACAAAAAAAGTATAAACAGCTCAAACCAAGATTAAAATTCCTGAGTACTCACATACATGAAATGCAAATATACTTCAGTATATTAAAGATCAATATGCAAAAATCTATAAACAGAAAGATATAAATCTAGAAGTAGCAGAAAAAATTACAGAAGACCTTCCTCAAGTTCAACAAAACCAAAATATAGACTTGGTCAAAAGAATCTTACTAGAGGAAATAACTCAAGTGGTTAAGAATTTTCCTAACAACAAATCACTTGGAATTGATGGTCTAACATATAAATTCTACAAACTTACTTTATCAGAAGTCACTCCAGTACTTGAATTAGTTTTTAATCAGATCCTAAACACAGGTATCCTACCTGACTCATGGTGCAAGAACTTGATTATCTTTATTCCTAAGAAGGCTACAAATTTAGAAGATCCGAATAACTGGCATCTAATCTCTCTAGTAAACTGTGATGCTAAGATTTTTATGAAAATCTTAGCAAATAGACTTAACTTAATCTGTAAAGAAATTATTCCAAATCATTAACAGAGGTTTATTATTAACAGATCTATTACAGATGCAGCCTTAGATATCATTACAATATTAAGAAACTAACCAAATAGTTCTAAACAACACTGGCTACTCTTTGTTGATCAACAAAAAGCCTTTGATAGAGTGAACCACAACTTTCTCAACACAGTTTTGAGAAAGATGAACTTCAACAAGAAGCTGACGAACTAAGTAGCTAATCTCTTCTCTAACTAAGTAGTACATATAATAGAAGATAATACTATATCTAAATCATTTAGAGTAGAAAGAGGAGTATGACAAGGAGATCCTCTCTCCCCTTTACTATATGTACTTGCTTTTGAACTACTACTTAACCAACTAGAAAAAAAACTACGAAGAATTCCCTTAAAAAACCAGTTCTTTAAACTTTCAGCTTATGCTGATGATTTAACAATAGAGATAAACTCTCTATCTGACTGGGCTAATATAACTAATCTTTTTGAAACTTATGAAGTAGTATCAAATGCAAAGATTAACAAAAACAAGACTAAACTAGTTTCTCTCACAACAGCAGCTCACAGAGTCAAGCTTAAGGGAGAATTGTTTTTCTCTAAAGCTCTAGATCAAAAAATAATTACAATTCTTGGTTATGAAGTTAATACAGAGGGTACTCCTAAGAAAGACCTATAGGTTAAGGCTATACTCAAAATGAAAAACTCGTTACAAAATCTCTCTAATTAGAACTTTTCCTTTAGAGGAAAAATCCTTTTAGTGAAAGCTCTTATCTTATCTCGAATTTGATATGCTACATACTTGACTCCTCTAAATAAAAAACAAATAGCTGAAATTAATAGTCTTATAATCACTTGGATAAAGAACAATTCTAGAATGCTATCTAGATTCTCTATATTTCAACAATCCTATAAACAAAAGGGCCTTCAAGCTCCAATAGTAGAGAATATTCTAGATGCAAGACTAATTACAGTATAAAAAAAACTTCTCACTAGTGACTTCATTTGGGCTAAATTTGAAAGAGACAAAATTACAGAATTACTTCTTAACAAACGAGGTATAATAGTCAATCAAGCACTCAGAGCAGATATAATCAGAATGAAAGCCTGATCAAAAGAATGGAAACTATATCTTCTAGCATGAAAAAAAAACTAAAGAGAAGATTATATTAACAACAAACTAGCTATAGAATTCTGAAAATATTAAAATAGGAGCTTTTAATGGAGATGATCTCTCTGTTAAAAGAATTATTAAAATACTAAGACAAAAACTAACACTAACAATGAGCATCTCTAATCAACAATTTAACTAGTTGTTAGTAAAAAAAAAAACTCTTAACAAGAAAAGGATATATTCTGGCATCTCTACCACAAAGCTCTTCCTCTAAGCTATCGACTACAATATATAGACCCACTTATTACAGGAAACTGCCTCTGGTATGAAAAAGAACTCCAAATAGTTGAACACTTTGCTATAAACTGCAAGGTAAATAAAGAAATATAGAGGCAGTCCTACTGCTTTTTAAGGACTAACCAAGCAGAAGCCTTCCCATCATCATTAGAAGAGATCTTTTTAGCAAATAATATTATTAATGATAAAAATACGCATGCAGCAATTTAGTTACATACAAATATTATTTATAAAATTTGGTGTACTTATACAGCTACTAGATAGGGAAACAATAATCTGACAGATGTAGCTCTTTCACTGATAGCAGTTAAATGTTTACAAAATAGTATATATTCTCTTTATTATAGTTTAAAAAATAGCTCTCAAAAGATTAAAAAGATATTTAGATCTATTCAAATATAGTTAAATAATAACTTTAATAAAAGAGCGCCACACATGTCCCTAGATGCTAGCATCAGGAATAAAAAAAAAAAAAAACTAGATTTTTTAAAGTATTCTTTATAGTTTAGATTTAGTAAGGTCTGAGATAGCACTTGTGGGAATCTTTTGGTCACCTCATTTTGCTGTGGTATACTAGTATCAGATTTTGTAGATAATATTGATATGAATCTATAAGGTAGCTTTTCATTTTGAAGAGTAGGTTATATTAGCTACAATAAAGATTTCATTAAAGGAGGAGGGTCTAGAGTCAGTTCTTGTGAGTTTTAGGGCATTGTAGCCTGTAGTTCATAATATCTAACTAATTTCGCATCCAAAAGCAAAGTGTTTTAGAGTTTGTAGAGAGTCTTGGCAGTTAGAATAGCATCCGTTTTAGTCTTGTGAAATATGTTTTAGTTAGTACTCTAGAGAAAGAGTTTTGTAGGCTAGCTGCCAGAAGATATTTATTTATTTTTTATTTTTTTTTTTATTTTTTTTTTTTATCCCTGATGCTAACATCTAGGGACGCGTGTGGTGCTCATTTATTAAAATTTGTTTATCAATATTTACATTTTAAGAAATTTACATATCCTTTTTTTCTTTTTAGATGGGAACCTTAATGCACTAGATTTTAGCGAATTAATCTCTTTGTTTAGACGAAGCTTGACTATTCTTAACATATTAGTCAAGCTTTGATAGTCCTCTCCCCATTTAACTCTCGTATATTGGCACCAGATTTCATAAGTTGTAATTATATGAATCCAAAGAGCTGTGTATAATCCCTTTTTATTCTTCAGATTAGAAGTGCTAAAAACCTCTTCTAAATTCTTCGGAGGGTATTCTGTTTGTCCTGTATTCAAGTACGAGTAGGCTAGTTTCCAGATTTCCTGGCTTATTCTGCAGTCTGTTATAAAGTGTTCTGGAGTCTGCAGCTCATCTATACACCAGATGCAGTCCTCATTTTCTTCTGAATTTGAATGGCGTAGGCGGTATCCTAGAGGTAGAGCTCTATGAAAGAGGCGCCAAGCTATATCTTTTTTCTTGTTCTCAATTGCCCCTATGGTTGACCATTCTATCTCTGAGTTGTTATTTGATTCTGCTGGTCTTGTGGTCTTCTTCCTTAAGAAATTCACAGAGTTTTTTACTGAGATTTCTTTTCCTTTTTTTTTCTCCTATAGTGATTTCTACAATACACCAAAGCCAAACTGTTGATGCTTCAATTTTTCCTTCTGCTCTTT